GGTGTGATCGGTGTTAACCACTCTGCACATATTATCTAAGGTAAATCTCATAACGGCAGCGTGAGGCAGGACTTGCCGTTATTCCCACTTTACAGATCAGGAAACTGAGGCAGGGGGAGGCTAAGCCTTGGACCAATGCCCACGCCTCACACACAGGCTGAGATGTATAGTTTGGGCGATGTGCAGCCAGCCTTGCCTGCCTGTCAGCGAATCTCACAGGGGACCGCCCACTACCCAGCCGACTGACCGCAGGTTGTAGGTACGCAGGTTGCGCTGCCTCCTCTTGGTGGCCCTCAGCTTGACGAAGGTGCGGCCAGTGGGGTCAAAGACGCAGAGGACGGTGATGCAGACACTCAGGATGACCACCCAGTTGCAGACGACCATCCCTGTGGGGGCAGCAGTAAGAAGCGAGAGTTGGAGGTCCTGGGGACACCTCCCCGGCTCGACAGCCCTGAAGGAAGGGGCGCTGGAGTCTCCCTGCCCACGACCGTTTCTGGCACCCAACAGCAGGGTGCAGCCGCCCCTGGCCCCTGGCTCCGACCACGTGGTCGCCCCCTCGCTGAGCCACGACCTTGGCCAAGGCCCAGCCTTGGCACAGAGCAGGTGGCTCTGTAGGTTTCCACGAGATGCTGAGGGGCCCTCAACTGCTGCCCTGGACAGCCCTATGCCTGCTGCTGCACCCTCAGTCCAGAGTCCCCTGAGGTAGGTGGCAGGCCACAAGAATGGAGGCCAGCCAAGCTGCCGGGTGCCCTTACAGAAACTTTCCCACTGGTGGTGCCTGAGCTTCCTCTTCTCCAAACCGATTCCGTCCCTTCTACCCCAAGGGCTGGCTGACTTACCGAGGGTGACGTTCTTGGCAGTGAGGTCGTTGCAGGAGGTGTAGTACTGAGTGAGCCAGACGATGCCCACGATGGCGTAGATGAACTCGATCACCAGGATGGCTGTAAGGAGAGCGGGCGCTGGCTGAAGGACGGCCGCCGACTGCCGCCTGCCGCTGGGAAGGGCCCTGGAACCTCGGCCCGGCCCCTCCTACCGCAGGGCCTCCGCCGCTCAGCAGCAGGGGCATCAGACCCGCCTCGTGGAGGAGAGGGCTCAAGGAGCGCAGCTGTCCCCCCAACTCCACCCTGTCGTAATGCGCCCGCCGGCCCCAAAACCTCCCTGAGAAGGTGCCTGGAAAAGCTGACGATGAACAGTCGTTTCAGGATTTTAGAGTTATACCCACGGACTGTGGAATCAGACGCATCTTAGGCAAGTTAGCTAACCTCTCTCAGCCTCTGTTTCCTCATCTGTAAAAGGGGGTGACAATGTCTACATTCCATTACTGTGCGAGAATCAGATAAGAGGGTGTCCCTTTCAGGGCTTCCGGCACTTGAGTCAGGAAGGAGGGGCCCCCCGTGGCCTGCTCAAGCACCCTGCTCAGCGGGGCCAGAGCACTGAGCTCAGGGCCGAGCCAAGATGGGGTGGGGATTTGGCCTCCCCTCCCCCATCCACCGGCAGCACAGTGTTAGCTGAGAGCCAGACGGCCTGGGTTCAGATCTCAGCTCTGACACTCGCACACTGGCTGTGTGACCTTGAGGACACGGATTCAGCTCCCTGGGCTCAGTGCTGTCCATAGACGCACAAGGGAGCCATCGGGGAAGCCCAGGGGGACACAGGCTGGCCCTCCTGGGAGTGGGTTCAGGTCCCTGAGGGCTTCCCAAGACAGGGCTGTTTGTGAGGGGCCACACAGCAGCTGAAAAGGGGCGCGTGGCCCAGAACAGGTGTCTGCGAAGGCCACAGAGTAAATATTTCAACTCTGTGGGTTGCACGCTCCGTCATAGCTACTCAGCTCTGCTTTCGTCACACAAAAGCAACCAGAGACAGGACGGACATAAACCAATGAGTGTGGCCAGGCTCCATTTAAACTTTATTTACAAAAATAGGCGTCGGGCTAGATTTGGCCCCCGGGGCCGCAGTCTGCCTGCCGCTGGTCTAGAAAGTAAACCAGTAAGCCCGCTGCTTCGCCGCGGGCCCACTGCGCGTGCCCATCAAATGTTGGCGGAAGGCGCGACGGCGCACAGGTGGAGGGCGGGGGTGGGCGTGGCCTGAGCAGACCCCTCCGAGGCGGGCGGCCCTTACCCAGGCGCACGTAGAGCACGTACTGCATGGACTCGCGGGGCTCCGTGTACAGGATGCCCCCCCGCATGCTCAGCCAGATGATGGCCATCTCGGCGATCATGCAGCTCAGCAGGATGCCCAGGTAGCCGCGGCCGTGGTCCACCAGGTTCAGGGAGCAGGCCTCGTGCGGGTTGTAGACCAGGCCGAAGAGCACCACGGACAGGATCACAAACCTATAAGGGACACGCACGTGAGAGGAGCCAGCAGCCCGTGCCCCTCCCACAGCCCGGCCCAGCCTGGACCCAGTGGTATAGGGCCACTGTCCACCTGGCAGAGAGTGCCTCCGAGGACACGGATGGCCAGGGACAGGAAGCAAGAGCTGGGAGCCCAGCTGCCAGCAGTGGGGAGACAGCAGCGGCAGCTTTGCCCAGTGCTGGGCTCAGGTCCGGCGGCGGCCAGGTGAGGTCCCTGGGCTCCACGTGGGAATCGCCTAAGGGTTTGTATGTTTCAGGCACCGCCTGCTGGGAGCTGGGAGCACGACAGACAGGGTCAGGACAGATGGCTGGAAAGACTCCGTGTAGCTTTTCTCCTCAAACCCGGGCGGGTGGCGTGGCTCCAAGACTCACCAGGTGGTATGCAGGAGGAAGAGGAAGATGGCCGGCAGGACGAGGTCATCGCTGCCCACAGACCAGCGCCGCCGGAACACCACAATCCCGGGCATGGCTGGCGGCTCTGAGGAGGCTCAGCGGGCCTGGCGCTCACCTCCTGCAAAAAAGCAGAGAACCTTGTGGCTGGCTGGGCCACCATGGCACCCAGGACCACCGCACCTGGCCAGGTATGCCCAGCAACACAGGCATCTCTCCCTGCTCCCACAGCCCAGAGGCTTCCAGGTTACCGCAAATGCTGACCCAATCTTGGGCAGGACCCACCTCCGCCATACCCGCTTCCCAAAGCCCACATAAGGGACTTTAGCAGCGAGACCCTGGCTTCGGCCTCACCCCTGAGGTTTCTCCAGCCCCTAAGACTGGCACTGGCCCCTTGGGATTGGCTCTGCCTGGGGTTACCCCAACAGTAACTGCTCAGCTCCACCGAAGGCCTGGGCTCACCCCCTGCCTCCCCTACATGGGATCAGGGGAGCTCCCCCAGCCCTCCTTCTGCCTTTCCTCAAAGAGACCTGGCCTAGTACACACAGTCCTTGGGGTGGGGTGGGGGCTTCCCAGACCAAGCATGAGCCTGACCCGCCCCCCGCTCCCCTCCTCCCACACAAGTAGGGCAGGGCAGCTGGAAGTCTGAAGGCCTGGAGCCAGCTCGGGGTGAGGGCACGGCCCGTATGGAAGGGAGAGTGCCCGGCCCATAGCAGGTGCTTAGTAAATATTTATTGAATTAGGTCTGCAGTTTCTCGCTTTGCTAGAACCCAAAGAGCATGCTTTGACTTGGTTTTGCACCCACCCGCCAGAATTCCCAGCCACAGCTACTCCTCTTGGTAGGGAAGAGCACGGTTGAGATCCAGGATCAAGAGCATGGCTGGGGTACCCAGCCCCCCTGCTAGAAGGGCAGTAGGTGAGCCCCGCAGCCTCACCCACCCTCGCGGTAGCCACAGCTCCCACACCCACCCTAAACCAAGAAGACTTCGCTGCCCGGTTCCCAACTCTCTGAAGTCACAGAGTTCGAATTAGCCACAGGCAAGCTCAGCGAAGAGTGTCCAGGAATCGGGAGTCCCACTCCCTAGAGCCCAGGGAACAAGGGGAGTGGAGCGGGCTGGGAGGCCCCCACAGGGGTTTGGTCCAGAGACCCCAGTGAGGGGCTCCAGGGCCAGGCCTACGCTGAACGGTGCATAGAAGACCCTGCTGTGGTGGGTGGCTGTCCCCAGGCTGGCAGAGGCTTACATGGCACCTGGTCCAGGGGCAGGTGGCAAGTCCTCCTCTCCCTGTGATGGCTCCAGGGAACACGAGTATCCACAGAGACCGGCATCACTCAGGAAGGGAGTGGGCAAGGCTCCCCCCGCTGGTGGGCACAGCCCTCGGGGTGGGCCAGGGGCCGGCCAGCACGCCCAGCCCGGCCTGTCTCCACCTCCCTCTCCCCGCTGCAGCCACTTCATCTAGCCGCTGCCGGGCAGCTCCGGGCGAGCTGGTGGCCTGGCGGGCGGGCTGGCGGGCTAGCCTGCCGGGGTCGTGCCTCCTCCTCCCCCCACCCTCAGGAAGTGACATCATCCCACTCTCTCTCCGAGGAGGAGTCGGAGCATGGATCCGGGAAGCAGGGGCGGATGGCGAGCACAGGAGCCGCGTGCTGTGGTGGCCGGGGCTGAGGGTGTGTCTGTGACAAGTGACTGACAGTGTCAGCTTCAGCTAGAGAGGATGGGATGGGAGGGGCTGGGGCCCGGTGAGTGGCAGGGGGGCTGGGGCAGGACAGAGCTGCCAACGGCTGGGGTTTTGTCCCCCGTTCTCTGCGGCCCCTCCCTGTCTCCATGTGGCTTTCAGAGGGTAAGGTGGGGCGTAGGGGCCACCTCTCATGACAAAAATGACGAAGAGGTCGGGGGCCAGCACAGTCCCAGCAGGTGCCGTAGCTCCGTCTCCTGTGCTAACCAGGCCAGACTCTGGCAAAGGGGAGCGCCAGCCCCTTGGTAGGCAAGAACCCTGCCCATCAGCAGCCCAAGACGTCTGGCTCTCAGGTGGGCCCCAGGGGAGGCCCTCCCAATCGCCTCTCGCCCTCGCCTCCTGGAGTCTAGAATGGCGAACACATACCATTCACGCATCCTCCTCAAACTCACACGCAGCTCCCCCATGCACAAGGCCCTGCTGGAGAAGTGGGGCCAGCCCAGCCCCCCGCCCTCAGAGGGGGCTGAAGATCTGTCAAGACCCTGGAGTGATGTGGCCGGTGGCAGCCTCTGCCCGTAGCCTGAGGCCGACAGCCGTCGTCAGTACCAGTGCCCATCTAGCTCGTGTGGACCCCAGTGGGGTCCCAGTGCCCCTCCAGCCTGGGCCCAGGACGCAGAACCCCAGGCACAGTGCTGGGAGTCTAGGCTGCCTGGCTTTGAACCCAGAATCCACCACCCACCGATGTGTGACTTACTAGTTGTGCCTCAGTTTCCTCATCTGTAAAACGTCGATTATCCCCATCTGCTAAAGCTCTGGCGAGGACCACATGGGAGAACTCTCAGAGGCCCTCGCTGTTCCGGTTAACGCCGGTGCCGGTCTTAGGGTCTTCGCAGAGGGAAGGCTCATGAACCCCTCCCCGCCTGGGCTGGTGGATTCTCCAGCTGGTCACCAACAGGTCACGGTCTGGGGTGCATGTGACAAGAGCCTGTGCTGGTGCTGGGCGGAGGATGGGACAACTCCAGTCCATGCGGATTCATAAATCTCAGGGCTGCTATTTTTAAGGGCCTGAAAGACGCCCTTTCTCTCAGGACCCCAGCCCTTCACAATGGGGGCCTGTTCCCCTGATACGGGTGTGATTTCATCTGGAGGAAATGTCTCAGGAGGGGGGAGGGCAGAGGGTGCTTCCTGGTGTGGGGCTGTTACAAAGCACCTCCCCTGGCTCTCCTACCCCAGGGCACAGGGTCGGTGCCCTCCAACCTCCACGTGGGGAGAGGGGCACACAGCCTCCCCTTCCTTACCCCCGAGAGTGGGCATGGCACCTCCAGCAGGGAGTAACAGGCATGAGGGCGGGGGTGGGCTCCCCATGCCTCTGGCTCTGCCCCCAGACCAGGCAGTAATGAAGGAGATGCCCGGACCCCCTCACATGGATGAGGAGACTTGAGCGGTCCTAGGGGGCCCCTTTCTTCTCTCACCCACAAAACCCAAGTTCCTTGCTGATGATTCAGGCCCCTGGGCTAAGTATTAACCATTCTGGGAGTTCCTCTTTCTAAAAATGCAAAACTCTTCTTAAGAATGTACATGCTGTCGCCTACTTTAAAAATCTTCCTGGCTCCTTGTGGCCTGCAGGATGAAGTCCAAGCCCCTCAGGAAGTGGCTAAGGGCCTCCGTCATCATCGGGAGGCAGGCTGTGCAACCTTGGGCAGGTGCCTAGCCCTCTCTGAGTCCCGGAGCAGATGATACGGCCCAACCCCCGGGGACAGACTCCAGCAACCCACCAGTGAATTCCTTCTGGCTGGAGAGGTGTTCCGGCCCCTTCTCATACTGCCCAACCTCCTTTCCTGATTCCCCCCCAAAACGTGCTGCTCCCTAAAATCACCTCATTGGGAAGTTCGTGCTTTGTTTACCCTTGTTCCTCTGCCCGTCACAGCCCTCCCCATCTCTCTAGGCTCTCCCTGGAAACCCTCCCTGTCTGCCCCTGCCACCCCACCCTTCTCAGGCAGAACATGCCTCCCCCTTACGGGAGCCTGGGACCCCTCACTGCAGCGTCCCCCTGGGCACACTTACAGTAAACCAGCTGCTTCCTCGCTGCCCGTTCCTGCCCCAGCTCAACCCAGAGTCCCCAAGGGCCAGGCCTTGCAGTGTCTTTCACCTTCACACCACCCTCGTGCCCCTGGAGCGTGAGCACATCCAACCTCGAACACCGCCCCTCCCCTGATGAGCCGCCTCAGCTGCCCCGAACCACCGCCCCACCCCTGGAAGCAGCCCCAGCTCCCCTGAGGAAGCCCCTCCCTGTCATAAGGGCCCTCTTAGCTCACCCCCTTGGCTTTTTGGGAAACGACCCATCCCAGTGCTTCGGCTGCCCGCTCAGGGGACCATCTCCCCTCCTCTGGCCACCTTAACTGTCCTACGGCTTTAGTGTCTTCATCTGCAGAACGGGGAGACCCCCGCCCCCTCAGAAGGCTGTATGGAGAACTGACTGGGATGACGTCATGAGAGGGTTTGCACAGGCCTCCTATCCGTGGTGGCCTCATATTCACAGAGCTGGCCTCATATTCACAGGAAGGCCTCAGAGGCTTCTGGAGAATTCTCGGCAGGGGGATGGTGACAGGGTGCTGGGGTCTGCGCAGGTGCTGCTGCTGCCCACCACTGGCTGCAGCTGATGGGAAAGAGCTGGACTGAGCAGATACGAACCCTGACTGGGTGACGAGCCCCGCTGGGGGCCTCAGGGGACTGTTGCCTAAAGTGCCCCAGGCTGGGACTCGTCACTAATCCCAAGGTCCCTCTGGGCTTGGCTCTGGGAGCAGGTTTCGGGGAAGAGTCCCTCGGCAATGGGTCTCAGCTGACAGGTGCCAAGAGCTTCCGTGGGAGGAAGGAGGGTGTGGGCTGCTGCGTCCACCGACTGGATGGCCCAGCACAGAGTTCCAGCCATGTGGAAATGGGAGGTCACCTTGCTTGCCTGCGATGGGGCCAGGCCACCTGAGTCAGCCTGAAACTTGTGGCCACAGGGGATAGGATGATGTGCTGTGGGAGACCCGAACAGTGTCACCTCCAGCTTCTAGGTCAGCCCACCTGGCCAGAGGTAGCCTCTGGTATCTGGGCCCAGGGATGGGCTGGAGATTGAGCTTGAAGGGATGACAGTCAGGTCCAGGCCACAGGGATGTTTCTGACGTCAGCTGCACATCTTCTGTGTCCCAAGTCCTGGACTAATCCCGTTCCATCTTCTCAGCAGTGATGTGGGCGACAGCATCGCTCTCTCCACATGCTCTAAAAACGGACTATGTCTGAGCCCTGGCTGTGTGACCTTGGTCAAGTTACTTAATTTCTCTTTGCCTTAGGTCCTCACTTCTAAAACGAGGCTAAGAATAGTACCTGCTTCAGAACTGCCATGAGAGTTAAGTGAGTCATATACTTAAGACAGCACCTGTCACATAGTAAGTGCTCAGCACATGCTGGTTCTTCTATTATTGTTACTATTGACGAACGAGGAAACTGAGGCTCAGAGCCTCTGCCCCAGTACCTCCAGAGAAGCAGGGGGCTGAGCAGGCAGGCGACAGAGGTCCTTCCTGCTGCCATCCAAAGCCTGCCTAACGTAGGAATGCCAATTAGAAAGGGCCCCAGAAAGAGTCCCAACACCCCCTTTTATGGGTGAGGAAACTGAGGTTGAGGAAGGCCTCAGAGGCTCCCAGCTTTCCCTGCTGACAGTCCGAGAGTCCCTGAGTGCCCCCCCCACTTCACCTTCCTCCCGGCACATCCACTCAAACACCTCAAGAGACACTACCACTAACAGAGTGTCACCCCAGGGAGGCTGGGCTGAGATCCTCTCTTCCACTCCCTTGAAGATGCATAACCCTCTTGGAAGCTGGCAAAATCCACATGAGCACCCTCACTGGGGATCAATCTGTGAGAAGGCAGTGGCCATTTGTACGGTTTCAGTCACCTGGGGCTGGTTCTCCACCAGCCTCGGGCAGGGTCCTCATCGCTCTGCAGCTCGGCTGGCAAAGGAGATACGCCTGTCTCAGACTCAAGCCCATCCTCCCTGGGCCTCCTGGGCCCCTACCTGCTGAGGCTGGTGACCAGGGCAGGTCTAGCTACAGCCTAGAGCTGCCAGTTCCAGACTAAGAGCAGTGTCCCCAGGCCAGAGAGTCACTGCCCTCTTCCGAAGAATCAGGAGCAGAGACCAATGGGAGGCTTGTCTTTCTGATAGTTGATATATATGTTACTATTTATCTGTATTCACCAAAAAAAAAAAAAAAGGCTCAGTGTGCCTTGTAGGAACCACAAACAATGAAAAGGTAGAGTATAAATTTGAAAACGAACCTCAAAACAAAAGATAAGGAAATTAAGATAGAAGGTGGGGGGAGTCGTTGCACAGGTGCGAGATAGAAAGGCCCACACAGTCGCTACCTGTAAAACCGGCATCCGACTCCAAACTTCCTGGTGGCCAGAGCAAAAAGGGAAACTGGGGTGTCCACGAGGGCTCTTTCAGCCCTGCGGGGAGCTCGGGTCCTTGCTGCCCCGGTGGAGAGCCCAGGGCTCCCGCCCCAGGAGGAATGCCATTCCGTGAAAAGGCTCTGAAACTGGAAGGTGCCCCAGAAAAGGTGACAGGGACGGGCCCCGGCTGCCTGCTAGGCCCTCTCGGTCTGTCTGACTCCAAGTGTTTCTGTGCTGGGTGCTGGAGCCTGTCTAGTCCGGGGAGAGGGGGCACATCCGACAGGTGGAAGGGGACTGACCACAGTACAGCTGGGCCCGGGCAGCCCGTAGGGTGCGCATTGGCCCCAGAGGCCATCCTAGCTGGGGCGGGCTCACCAACCGGGCCCCTCTGGCCCAGCTGGGTGGGCAGATGGCTCCTGCTCTGTGTAGTGGTGTCCGGGCTGGGGTTCATTCCTAGCTCCTCCACTCCTTAGGTGCAGGGCCGGTAAGGGAGCTGGTCAGCCTCTCTGCTCACTTCTGAGGCTGAGAGCACATCATAACTAGAATCATTTCTTGATGCTGCAGGGCAGTTTCAGAGTTCCAAGGTGATGGCGGGGACGAGAGGTCAGCCCACCTGTAAGTTGGGGACAAAGCTGTAGTATTTGTCACTTGCTTATTACCATGTCCTGGGCCACATCTAAGCCCCTCACAAACATAACTTTCTCCTTAGACCCACTCAGTGAGATAGGAACTGTCACCCGTATTTTACAGATGAGGTGAGGTGACTTGCCCCAGATCACACAGCCTGCTACATGTCGCTTCTGAGGAGTAGGATTCAGATAAGGCCTGTTTCTGAACCTAGGAGCTGGCTTCAAACGTCCCCTGTTGAGTGGCGAGGCAAGGCCTCAGGGCCCACGAAGAGCTAGCTCTCTGGGTCCTTGTCACACCATGTGGGAGTGAGGGTATCGGCCACACTCTGTGGATGAGGAACACTGAGCCCGGGGTTGTTCCACCGTCTGCCTTGAGGTGAGCAGGCTGTGGAGCCAGCCAGGAGAGAGCCCAGAGCTAAAATCTGGGTCATCTTTACAGCCTCATCAGGCCACAGGGGTAGAGCTTTACGGATGAGGAAACTGAGGCTCAGAGAGACGCGCTATTTGCCCGAAGATCCCGTGACAAGGACGAGACAGACCTGGGATCTCACGCAGCCTCCGTGAGTTACTTGAAAGGAGAAAAGTCTGCCGTCAGTCCGACGCCTCGTTCCCACGCACACAGACACAAGCCCCACGTGTTCCCTCCTCCCTGAGCACCCTTCTCCCTCCCAGGTGTGCAGCCCCGCATGGAGGCTGGGCTCTGGGAGGCACGGGGAGGGGGAAGGCGGCGAGGGAGGTGACGGAGAGAAGGCACGTGTGGGCTGGGGGCCGCGTGTGCCACCAGCCTGTGCCCAGGCGTGCGCCGCCCAAGTTAGGGGCCGAAAGCTGTTGCTTTTCTCACGTCAGCTGTGCCGGAGCAGAAGGCAGAGCCGAGCCCGCCCAGGGCCAGGCCGGATTTCAGCTCAAGATGGGTCCTCACATGCCCAGGCCCTGGGACCGCAATGACGTGCTGGAGCGGGGGCAGGGGCCGGAGGGGGGCACCACAAGCACTTGCCCCACCATCCTATTAGGGTGGCCTTGAAGGGCCGGGGAGGCCCCTCCTATGCTCCTCACTATAACCCTGTTCCCGTGTTACAGATGGGGAAATTGAGGCTCCAAGAGGTCATTCAACCTACGAGGGCCACGGCAGGCCCCGCAGCCAGGTTCCTCTTCCGTCTCTCCGCATCGGCGTGCGTGCTGGCTGGAGCCCCCTCCCCACAAAAGAGCACCCTGGGGGCCGGGCGCAGACCTCGGGGAAGAAGGCGAAAAGGAGCAGTGCCAACGGCTGGGGGCCACGCCTACGGCCACCCTGGGCTACACCCGGAAACAGCTCCAACGGTTACTCCGCCACCTGCTTATTTTTAAATAGTTCTTATGCAACATTTACTACATGCCGGATACTGTATCAAGCAGTTCACGAATATCAGAATATCACCGCCTTTCATCTTTCTAACACCCCTATGAGGTAAGTGCTATTCCTATCCCCATGTCATGGATGAGGAAACCGAGGCCCAGAGACATTAAGTGACTTGTCCAAGGTCACTCAGCAAGTAAGCTGCAGGGCCAGATCTGGGCTCCCAGGCCCTCCCGAGGGGCACTCATCGGGGTTCCATTTATCACGGAGGCTCCAGCTTCTCTTCTCACGCTCATTATTTTCCACTCGTCTACAGCAGGCAGAACTTGCCATCTGCCACCGGCCCTGTCACTGATACCAGCCAGCTCCCTGGGAATCTACTGGGGCCTTTCGTTTCCTGCTAGTTGTACCAGGAGGGGGGTGGGGGCGGGCGCTGCAGGGCTGAGGGACCTTCCCCGGCAGCCAGGCCAGG